AGTTCAGACCTGGATCAGACCTGGTTTAGACCAAATTCAGGCCTGGTTCAGACCTGAATCAGACCTGGTTTAGACCCAGTTCAGACCTGAATCAGACCTAGTTCAGACCAGGTTCAGGCCTGAATCAGACATGGTTTAGACCCAGTTCAGACTTGATTCAGGCAGGCGTTCTTCTAAACTGGTTCTGACCCGGTTGAGACTTTATTCAGACCCAGTTCAGGCCCGGCTCCGACCTGGTTCTGAACAGCTTCCCCCCCCTCTTGGAGCCGGTTCGGTTCTGTGGACCTACCGGATCGGGCCGGGTGGGCTAGGCCCCCCCTCCTGGTCGCCTCCTGGTCCCCGACTCCTTCATCGGCTTCGCTCTCGGTGGGTCCAGTTCTCTGCTGGAACCGGGCCCTCTGCTTCACGGCCTCCCCGCCGCCGCCACTAGGCCCCGCCCCCTCCGGCGCCGCCCAGGCCTCCCCACAGCCGTACTGGTAGCTGGGGGGGCCGTCCAGCTGCGAGTCGGCCGGGTCCGGGGGGGCGGGCGAGGCCCGATGGCGTCCCCATCGCGCCGGCTGTTGTGGCCGGCGCCACGTGGCGAGCGGCGGCAGGGCGTGTGTCCTCCGGTCCCGCCTCCTGCCCCCCCGCTCGGGGCTGTCGGTGCTGCTGGGGGAGGGCTGGCGGGGGGCGGGGCCCGGCGGCGGGGGGCGGGGCTTCTTCAGGATCTCGGTGCACTTGTCCACGATGTGCCACATCTGGAGGAAGCTGGCCACCGTCACGTAGTGGACCACCTCGTCCCGCACCACGCTCAGCCGGCCCGTGTAGGCCGCGCGCAGCACGCTCTCGAACGCCAGCGGGTCCAGCACCGAGGGCAGCGCCACCGCCGCCACGTCCTTCAGCAACACCTGGCGGGACGGCGAGCAGCGTTATGAGGCCGTCATGTGACCTGAGACGCTGTCAAGTGACCTGAGCAGCGTTATGAGGCTGTCATGTGACCTGAGACGCCATCATGTGACTTAAGAGGCCATAATGTGACCTGAGCAGCATCATGAAGGCGTAATGTGACCTGGGATGCCGTCATGTGACCTGAGACGGCATCATGTGACCTGGGGTGCTGTCAGGAAGGCGTCATGTGACCTGACCTGCGACGCCCTGAGGAAGTATCATGTGACCTGAGACGCCGCCATGTGACCTGAGATGTTGTCAGGAAGGCGTAATGTGACCTGAGTAGCGTCAGGAAGGCGTCATGTGACCTGAGACGCCGTCAGGAAGGTCCTGACCCCAAACCGGCGTGTCAGCTGGCGCCATCTCAGGTCACATGACAGCAGGACTCTTTCTAATTCTCTCTCTTAAAGTCATTTTAGAAAGTACCTACACTCTTTTTTGGACAATAATTTACATAAACCAATTAAGAAAATGGTAGAAAAGTTATTGTTTTGCCCCGGTGAGGCGGCATTAAACACCAGGCGTGTTGTTAGACATAAAGCGGCTTTAAACAGGCTGCAGTGTGCAGGAAGCGTGGCTTTTGTGAGGCGCCCACCTGGTCGTGGAAGTAGGGCGAGGAGGCGGCCAGCACGCAGCGGTGGGCCCTGAACACGCGGCCCTGCACCTGGATGGACAGGTCGCACAGCCGGCCCTCCTCCCGCTGCCGGTTCAAGTTGTCCAGAACAGCCGCGCGAGCCCCAGGAAAGCACACCTGGACCACCAGGGCGGCCGGAGCCTCAGCAGAGTCACAGCAGGCCGGATCCATGCTCACGCCTGCCTGGCCACAGGAAGGGAGGTCTGGGGTTAGCATTTATCCTCTGTGGCATCAAATATCAACTCATCACGAGCCTGTGAGATTAATTTAGCTTTAAGGGACAATTCTTAAGAATAATTACTCCTAGTGTGTGTCTGTTCTGGTGCTATTTCAGTTTAAATTTAGGTTTCAGAATATGCAATAACAGCAGATAGCGGGTTTGGTTTGGAACACAAACAGGCAGATTTCTTTTTAACCTGCAGAAAACATCATGCTTGGGTTTGTTTTGGCTCAGGTTTAGTTCTTTAATTAATGTCAGTGGAGATAAGCAATGTTTTTACACATCTGTGTTTTTACCTTCCAAAAACCGAATTATGTGTTATGTTACCTTGTAAATCTAACATTTATTCATATGACTGAATGTCTGATGTAAAACTATGTAAACAAAGCATCTAGTTTCAATTACTCTGTTCATGCTCCTCTAAATATGTTATGTTATTTTGCACAACAATTTCCTTGTAAACAACTGAAAAATGAACTCATTTAAACCTTTGATGACAAATAAAATAGACTAAGACTTGGATTTTATTTAGTGTCTGGAGCTTGCACCTTAGCTAGCGTTAGCTTCATAATATGATACATTTTTGATAAACGTATACACTTTTAGGAGCATTTAATGAAAAATGCATTGTAAAATTTGGGTCGAGAAATGGTCCTGGTGACATTTCTTCCCAGTTTTCGGTTCCCTGGCAGTTTGCTTCGTCCCTGTGTTCCCACTTCCTGGATCATGCTAACTGGTCCTTTAGCTAACCAGTGCCTTAGCCGTTGGCACCTAGCTTAGCTACCTCACCTTAACTGGGTTACTTTACCTTTAAAGTGTCGACTTCTACTTTTGGAGGAGATTCTGCTTTCTAGTTGCAGCAAAACATCGTAAATTCTCGTTTCCGGACACAAAAACTACATCAAGCTAGCTCATGCTGCATTCGATGTACATTGGAGGTGGAAAAGCTCCAAGTCGAAATCACGTAATTTCGTCCAACATCCAATTTTATACTCAAATGTCTGTGCCTATAAATGTTATATGTTACACTAATATTGGATAACAATGTTAGGAAATAGTTGGTATATTAACGAAATTATATAACTAATAAATAAGCTAAATGTCGACTAAAAATACATTTTATTAATGCTCTGTGGACACACCCGAACAGATATTTAGCTGAGTTTACACAAATTTCCACTAACAGATCGGATCTGAAAAAGACAGCTCGTTTATGGGTGAATGTGACTTCTTTAGGGCGTTTTATCTAACGTATCAGTGTCTGGTACAGGAAATTCCGAGTTTCAGAGTGTCATCAAACGCATCACGACGACATCTACCAATTCGGAGGTTTAAAAACATTTTTTGTCACCTTTTACTGGCGTTAAAGCCTTAAAAACTCATTATGCTGGTTATTATTAGTTATTACAGTTAAAAATACAGAATATGTTGACAACAAGGTGCCGTAACCGGATGTAACGCCCTCTCTCCGGGGTACATTTAAAGGGGCAGCTCCCCCTAAAATAACCCACCTCCCACAATTGGGGCCTATTATTGTAAATTAACCGGGCTCTGGATAAAAGTGGGGGTCCTGTGGACGTTTCACGAGCCGGATGGGCGGTGTGGGTCAGTGACAGGAAACCGGAGCATCCGTCACGCGCAGGCTGGCAGCACCTGCGCGGACTCACGCGCACTGCCGTTTTTCCGCAGTGCATCCGCAGCATCCTCTGAGGGGCCGCGCGCACACGGACGGACGCGGACAACTGAGCTCCGTGCCCCTGTTTCCAGCCGCTTCCTCTAAATTTTGGCTTTTTTTTTGGGAGGGGGGGGTGGGTTCGTCTTTGGATGTCTGCGTGTGAGCTCCTCGCGCTGTTTGACCTGCGATGCCAGCGCGAGCGAAACGTCGCCTCCACGAGCACGGGGTCGTTAGATAGGTGAGATCGTGCTGCCTTCGCGGACCGGAGCCATTAAAACCAGGACACAGCCACCGATTTCTGATCCTAGTCAGGATAATTCCCCTTATACCCACTGCCCGGTCTGGTTTAACACTGGTAGCGTGCAAGAGGTAGCCTTTTATTCTTCCAGAGCATGCAGAATTGATGACATATGCGCGTGCATGTAAGTAAGCGCTGCGCGTACCCGTAGCTGGCACGTTACGCATAGAAAAGCGTCTTTATTGGAGCGAATCCGCATATTGGGGCTTGTTGTGATCGGCTCTGAAGGCTCAGGACAACAACAG